TGTGCTGCCGCGTCCCTCCCGCCGGCCGCGCAGCCCAGCCTTCCTTCTTTGGTAAAGACTCCAACAATTCCCTTTTTAGGCTCAATACCAGCAGTCCCGGGAAGGAACAAGAGCCCCTTCCCCAGCCCCACTGGGGCGGCTCTGAGCAGAGGGGCTGCTTGCAGAGGGCATTTCAAGACATCCCATCGCCAGGGTGTTCCCTGCATCCCGGAGGGGAACCCTGCGGCCCCAGGAGCTCAGCTGCTCAACCTGTTTTCACAGGAGCTCCCCTCACCCCGGCCAGCATTAAGGTATTAACTGCACTGGCTGGGGTCTGCTTTCCTTACCACATCTCCTGCACAGCTCTCCCTGATGAATCCCAGCTGGGAGACTCTTTTTTTTGGTCTTATTAAATTGTTAATATGTTTTTTTTTCTGCAGTGCCTTTTGTCCTCCCTTCCCCATCCTGCTCTGTGCCCCACCAGCCCCCCCAGCAGAAAGGCATGAAGGGCTGCCAGGGTCCCTGGACCCAAACCTAGGACACCCCATCCCAGTTATCCCAGTCCCTATACTGGCAGACCCTTTCCTTCATCCTGGCAAAACGCTCTCCCACTGGGATGGAAATCCTGAGACTTCAGAGCTAGAAAGCCCATGGAGAAGTAATGCTGAGGTTGTGCTGGATCCACGGAAGCTCTGGGAGTGGTGGCTGCTGAGATGAGGGATCCCAGTGCCCAGCTTCTGCCAGGGCTCTGGGTACCACTGCCCAGCAGCTCCAGGCTTCCCTGCATCCTCCACACTGCCAGAGAAAAGGAATATTAATTAGTAATTAATAGCCTTACCTTGGGGATTTCATCATTGAAAAGTGTTGTAGGAATGGCTTTCTGGTACACCTCTAAGTAATTCCTAAAGCCTTTTGGAATGCCCTGCTCAGCAAGCAGGGAAGGTGAGCCAGAAGGCTCCATGTCCAAAGGCAACTGTGGTGCTTATCAGTGGGGAGTGAGGCCCATCACCTGCCTTGGAGATAGAGTGGACCAGGATGAGTCCATCCTCAGCATGGAGAAGCCTGAAGGACACCACAGCACCAGGAAACATCCGAGCTTGAGGTCCTCTCACTGTTGTAGAACAGCATAAGGGCAGCACTGCCCATTGCACTGCTTCTTGCAGTGGATGGGCAGGTCCTTACCCATGTCTTCTTGGTGGCCCCAGAGCAAGGACACTGACAAGTCACTGGCAAAGCTCTGGTGGTCACACAGGGGCTGCAGTCAGGCCAGGAAAAGGACTTCTGTGCTCCCCAGGGCTGAGTGACCAGAGAAAATCCCTTTCTTGGCTCTGGCAGCCAAATGTGGGTGGAAGGTGGTGTCAGGCACAGGGGAAGACCTGCTACAAGACTCCTGCACGTGGTAGAAACCCCAGCTTGGCTGATAATATTTCCCTTCTGCTCCAGCTTTCCTCAAGTGTCTAAATAAGAAAATAAAAAATAAAATATATAAAGCCTCAGGGAGCAGTCACCGAAGTGATTACAAATAATTAAAATAAAACAAAATAGATGCACACAGAGACTGATGCACAAGCCCCAAGTCTCCTGTGCTGAGGCACTTGCTGGCTGGGGTATGAAGCTCCCAGCATTTCTGAAATGCTGAGCCCCTTTAGGAACAGTCACCTGGAGGTTTCCTCCTTTCCCAGATGGATCAGAATGGCAGAGATTTCTCTGCACCCCTGGCAGCAGCAGCAGCTCCCCCTGAGCCCCAGGCATCTGCAGACAGGGGAGCAGCAGCTATTTCTTTGCACCAGACTCAAGCAGAGACAGTGCATTTTCCAAAAAGACCTTAGGAATGGGATCCTTCTGAAAATGAATATTTTGGGGCTGGAGCAGCAGCAGAAGCATAAATCAGAGCAGCTCCAGGTGACACCAGCGCAGCTTGGCCCTGCTGGGATGGATGGAGCTGCTTGATGGGTTTGTCTCCTGCCCCACAGTCCCAGGGGACATGCTGCTTCTTCCCCACAGCTAGAGGGGAAAAAAACCCCAATTCCTGACTCTTGTAGAACCTGCAAGTATCAGGTTTGGTTTCCTTTGATTCCCAGCATTTGGTTTGCTTTCCTACTTCATAAATAGTCAACCACCCAATGTTTGAAAACGTGCCTGCTAATCCCTCTGGCCCCCCATGTGTTTGTGGGAGCAGCACCCATGGCCCCATCCAGCCTCATGGCTGATCCAAGAGAGATCCTCCATTGCCAAAGCCAACAGCTCATAAACCAGCCCTGTGCCAAAACAGGCTGCCCTGGCCTGTGGGTACCAGGTACATGATGTTAAACAGCTTGAGGGGGTGTGAGAAGGGAACTGATGCCCTAAACCACAGGGCTGGCTCCAGAGGGACATCCCTGGGGAGCAACAGGGATGCAAGCTGCTCCCTGGGAATCCAGTTTCCCCCTGTACTTGCTCCCCAGAGAGTGCTGGGACATAATGCCCTGTTTGCTCTCTCCTCATCTGCTGTCCCAGGGCAGAACCCAAGGGATTCCTTAGAGCCTTGGAGGTGATGGGGTTAGAGGGAGGCTTTTTGCAGGGGAGCCTGATGTTTCCCTGTTCCTTTTATCCATCCCACATGCCCACTCAACCCACTGGCTGGGGACACACACCTGCATGGCCAGTGTGCCCCAAATCTGCAAAGCTCCAGGCTGCTGGACACCTCGATGGCTTGGCCAGGGATGGAGGGGCAGTGGGGAGAGAAAGGAGGAGAAAAATCTCAAAAAAAACCCCAAACCCTCAACACCTGCATGAGTTGCCTTTTCAGTAGGGCAGTGCCCCAGCAAGGTCACCATCCAGGGCAGGCAGCAGACTCAGGGTGAGGGTGGCAGGAGGGTGCAGGGCCAGGGAACACAGCAGCCCTGCAGTCCCCTACCCCACCCCCTCCCCAACCCTGCAAACCCCAGCTCCTGCTTAGCTTCCCCGTTTCTTGCCAAAATCACTCCAGAGCATGTCAGCACGCTGTCACGTGAGGAATCTCATTTTGGAGAGGCTTTTTCTCTCTCTTTTCCCCTTCAGATACAAACCAGACCCAGCCACACTTTATGGGGTGTGAGGGCAGGGCTGCTCACACCCCGCCTGCCTCTGCTCCCACCCCAAAATGATGCTGGAGCAGATTTGGAGGGCTTGGGCTGCTTGTCTAGGACACTTTTCCTGCATGTAGGGACCATCTGCACATGTGTGCAGGACCCCCACCCCATGCTTGCAGACACTTGGCATGGAAAACACAGGAGGAAGAGCCACACTGCTCAGTGAGGTGTTTCTGGGGCTGGCCACTGAGCCCCGGGGCTGGGCACACCTGGGAAGAGGGCAATGCTGCTTCTTCCCTCTGCTGCAGCCTTATTTTGAGGACTGACACCCCATTCCCAGAGGAGCACTGCTCCCCATAGAGCCCCTGGGAAGTACTTGCACCCTCCTCTCAGCCCCCAGGATCCCAAAACCCCTCAGTGAGGCCACAGTCCCTGCACATTCTTCTCCCTCTTATTCCAGGTGACTGCACAGACCCAAGAACCCTTTACCTGCCTGACCCCAGGGCTCAGCTCCTGTGCTCTGGGGATGGACAGCAATGGACAAGTCCTGGCCTGGACTCCCCAAGCCTCTCTCACATATTTTCTTTGAGGATTTTACTGCTTTGCTGTTGTTTTTCTTCCTCACCTCTCACTGCCCAGGAGCCACCTTCCACCCATGCTCCCCGAGTCCCACAGCCTCCTTCACACACTCAATGTCATCCTTCCTTTCCAAGATGCTTGGCCTGGGAAGCAAGAATAATCTGCTTAGGGCAGTGAAGGATTAAAACCCTCTCTTGGTTTTATGAACTGTCCACCTGCAGTCCCACAGAAAGGTTTTGGAGCCAGGGGCTCCAGCCAGACATGCAGAATTTGCTTTAAAAGGGCTGTGAGAGCCAGTGAGCTGTGATGCCCCCAGGTCAGAGGTACAGAGCTGAGGGGCTCTGGTCCCAGCTTCTGCACAGGGAATCCTGCCCTGCTGCGTGGCTGTGGGGGAGCTGGGGCTTCCCAGGAGACCTCGGCCCCATCACCAAGCCAAAGGTGCTGAAATCAGATGGGACACCAGCCCTCACAGCCTATCAAAGCCCCCAAATCCCCCCTGAGCCCCCTTCCAGTCCTGCCCAGAGCCTGTGCTGTGCCAGCTGGGACAGGGAGCTCCATTCTCATCACTGCCTGGGACCAGAGAGGTGATGGATAGTGAGGCAACAAACACCTGGAAGATGGTTGGTGTCTCCAGTTTTACCTGTAGTAACCTGGGAGTAGCTTTGTCCTCTT